GCCCTCCATCAGGACATTTTGCCAAACTTTGCCAAAAATCGTGATAAAATGTTCCGCGACATTCTAAACGTATTCCTAAACCAACTTTCAGAATAGTTTGCCCATACAAAATTCCACCAATTCCACCATTTTGTGGTTCTTTCAAGACGGCGACATTGACGAATTCGAGGCTTTGTGGCCTTAATGAACATCATTGTAGGTAATGACAAACATAACTGGACAATCTTGTTCCTACCTGTTTTGATACTGTGCAATATTCGTAATTTACCCTGGCTTCTTTCTCTTCTTACTTTCAAAATTTGCTCTAGAATAATTAGCTTCGTAAAAGCCGCCATATTTTTTATGTGAATTACTGTTAATAAACGCGAGGAATAAATTCGACATCTAAACTGAGCACATCGAACGTCGCATTTACGTCGCACAAAACTGCGGTTAAATTCGACGAGTTAAATTCGACTAAAATGCGACGTCTAATCTAGGCCTAAATCAGCCGCTGAAGATAGTATTCACCAGAGATTCCGTGTAATTATGACCAACATGAAAAGATAACGCTTTAAGAGGTTTATCATCTCATTATCTATTGTTTGAACTGCACTCGACTCGACGCGACCAAAAAATGCGAAGTATGTATAGCCCATAGCAATAACCATTAAACACTGTAAATTAGTGATATATACAGGGTGAGTAAAAAACCCTGACATTGTAAGTCAAATTAGCTCTCTAACTTATGTGTACAATCAACAGGACGTGGTTAAGAAAGTATTTAAACCAATTGAAATAATCCAACGTGACGCCTGTGCTAAAAAAAACGATTTGATAAAACTGTTTACAGAACAAAACTTTATGTTTTAGGCAATTGTTAATGATTAATGATTTGAGATGCTTCGTATACCCATGAGATATTTTAGCCAACTTCTGTCATATTACAGCCGGCTAATTTGAATTTCAAAGATGTCAGTTTTTTTACTCACCCTGTATTATGCTAGCTGACAATATATACAATGCTGTCAAGGATTTCAACTCTTATAAACTTGGAGCTGAAGGTATTGGTTTCTTAGATGAAATACAGGAAAATCCTGGATGATACTATTAAACAATACTATAAATGAGACTATGAACAGGTTTCAAATTGGAAAATATGACTATTAATTTTGACCGGCAACGTACGGGACAACGCAAATATTTAATGGTACAAACGGCAGCATCGAAGCTCATGGCCATCCAGTGAAATATAGACAGCCGTGTCGGTTGTATCATCGCACAATAGTCTCTATGAACTTGTAGTATTATCGGAGTATAGTTTAATTAACACTAAAGTACATTGGTTAATTATTTACCTTATCGCACAGTACATTTCTCCATTCGTCGAGCACAAGGTCAAGGGTATATTACCAAAATTAACAGTGATTACAAAACCTCTCCATGACATGTTTTTATAGTCTCATAAATATAGCTTGAGTTGCTTGAATTCTTTTACAAAGAACTGTCTTCGGCTGCAAAACACTGTCTCTGATCGTCTGATCGGTCATGATCTACATGCAACCATTACATGGTGTCACTGAGTAAGAATACTGAGCCTTTCATATTCAAATTTGCCGCATAACGGCTGTAATTTGACAAAACTTGCCTGAATTGAATAATTAATATAAACAAAACTGTAGAAATTTGCATGTAACTCAACGACTCCAGCGTAATTTATACTGAACGGCAGCCAGACATGATTCAGAGAGTGAAATGCACGGGCGAAAGACTCTTCGTGCTGAAAGAAACGACAATGGCGTAGCCAGCCTGACAATTTAGTCATGCTACGTTAATATTTTCGTGTTCATTGACTGTGAAAACAGTGAATTTCTAAAGAAATATATAATGATAATGACATAAATTTTGCATCGCATGACTAAATCGTCAGGCTGGCTACGCCACTGAGATACGACGGTCATGTTGATATAAAATATTCAGTTGAATTCATTTATTTAGGTCTTAATTTCATTATGTTTAAGGTTCTTACAGACGAGCAATTTTTTCTATGACAAGTACATTTGTACACAAAGTTGGGCGAACAGACGAACAATTAAAAGTTGTCATATAAAAACTTGTCATAGATTTTCCTGTAAGAGGCTTTACGCAAACGTGTTTTCCGAGGTATTGAATAAGGCGTCGCTGCAGTTTGTTGCATGTATACGTATTTTCATTGGATGAAACCCTCGGAGTGAGCTGGCAAGGTCGCAACCTCGCAGGCCAGGTTTTCTACCAGCCCTCCACGACCCACGCAAGTTCGCCATTGCGATGAGTAGAAAAGAGTCTTTATTTATAGCCACCAAAGTTTTTTCGAATTTAGGAAGGCGGAGGTTGAAGAATGAAATTTATTTGCAAAATTTAAGCATTTTTAAATTGTTTTCAAGTCTAAAAATGATAGACAAATTCAGTAAATATATAGAAGGTATTTTGTATCGAGTTTTTTTTCAAGAAGCTAAGGTAATTTTTGTGTTTCAAGCGATGGTATATGAATGTGTGCATTATATTTTTTGTAAGAGAGTTGCCAGCCTTAGGATAATTATATATTGGACCGGGCTGCCTATGACAAGGGTCATCAAAATTCAATATACAGCTTGCACTTGAATAATTTATTTGCTGTTGTTAACATGTATAATAATTATTAGCTACTGCTCTTTGCGTAGTCTCTACGCAAACCAGCCGTTTCAAATAAAGTCCTCGAATAATTTCCAATCTATCTTGATCACAGTTGTGGTAAGTCATTTTAAACATTAAAATTTATTTCCATTGACGAATGTTTCGTGAGTTGTAGGTAATAGATGCCCTATAGTGATAACAAGAACTTCATTAAATTTCCCTAAGTTAACAAATGTAGCTGTAGTCAATTGGGACTATGTCATGTGCGGCCACCTTTTGCCAAATTGTAAATATTTTATTTCTGCAATAAAGTGATTAGAAAGAAAGAAAAGAACGTAGTTAAACGTCAAAACGGGCTGGCATGCCATTCAGTAATTACATCAACACATATGTATCAGTTTTCTCGACATGCAATTCAAGGGAAATGGTCCGCAATTTTTTGCGAAAAGTAAATTTTTCAGAGTGTATCATTGAAATGAAATTGGTCGGCCGTTTAAAGCCGGTTTTCCACTAGCGATATTTTTCGCGCGAAGCGACATTTTACTTTTGTTTCAGAGCTCTCAACTGAAACCATCTGGAACAAATTGCTCAAAAACAAAGGAATAAAGTCGCTTCGCGCGAAGAATATCGCTAGTGGAAAACCGGCTTAAGATTGTTATCAGCGTTTGCCGCGAAATTACGAAATTATGAAACCGAGCATATTTTAGATGACGCATTCAATATATTTCTTATAGCTTTAGATTATTTACCGTTTAAAAGTTGAGAGTGTAAAACCTAAATGTACTTTTATCTAATAAAGTCGTTCGCATGCGAGCAATATTTACTCCAGTTGCCTAGCGCCATGAGAGAAAAATAAACAAATTCTGAATGAATTATTAAAGCACACTACCAGCCTACGCAAATAAATGTCAGTCGCGTATTTGGGGTCGGTGCGTACCTATATAGCTTTGCTATTGGTTGATGATAAGAAAAAAACAGAATCTACTATAGAAATTTATTACTAAAAGAACGAATCATTTATAAACACTGTTCACGATTGTTACGTACAAAACGCTAAGCACAAAACTCGTTCATACTAGATAGATACTTACTGCTAGTTTGCCTCAATCGTTTCGCACAATTAATCATTTATCTCTGCTAAACTGACGTTTGAAAAATAACTGATATTGCTTCGTCGTTTAAATATGTTGGTGTATTCTCCCCCACGAAGTAAAAATCTCAACTTTAGCGGATAATCTGAATATAGCGAAGTGTTGAATTTTAATCAATTTACAATGCAAGTTAAATACTGCTTCACGCAATTTAAGCAAGCGAATATATTTCCTATATTTATGTTTTATTCCTAGGCAAGAAAATTCAGAACTACGAATCCATGCATATCTACATTCAATAATCATGGCTTATTTTTTTATTTTCATTATAGGAAAATTTCTTCATATTGCAACAACTGAAAGTTGAAGAACCATGCTATTTAAACATTTCTTTTTCCTATTTGTACCGTGTATATCACTTGCAGTCTTAAATGTTATATCAAGTGAAACCAGTGTAAACATTTGCTACGATTTCACTCTTGAAGGTAAAGTAAAACATAATATATATCAACAGATTGTCAGAATCCTGGAAAGTCACGTCATTTGAATAAACAGACCTCTCTCTACAGCTATAGCTTCTGAGTGATAGAAATTAACAATGAAAATTAATTCATCACATTTTTGTCAATATGGGACAAATCAATTCTTTGCACATGCACTTCATCCTCGTATCTGATGTGTGGACAAAATCAAATGAGGGGAATATCAGAAAATATATCACATTGTCACAACCTTCTGCACTGCACGAGAATATATGACAGTAAAATCGAGAATTTGCAAAGTTGAACTTTTTTCTATATCCGTTGACAATCCCTCCGTTTAAGCTGAACTCAATTTATTAGCATGATACGCGGCTCTGATTATTGTCCTTTTTACAGAACATTTTTGAATATAAAATACGAAAGTGATTGGTGTGTTAAGTTTAGCGCCTAAACGATCATTAACTGATATTTTTCAAATGACCCCCTTCTCTCAACTCCATACTTTTAATTTGCAAGGCTTTTCCATCAAATTATTTTTGGCCAAACCTAAGACTGAATATCTTAAGAAAAGTCTTAAGAAGAGAGAAAGTGGCAAAACTTCAGTATAGCCTCTCAAATGAGACAAGAAATAAGCAACCCTATTTTTCACATCTTTTTGACACCCGGCAACTTAGTGTCTAGTAACATTAATACCTATTCTTTAGCAGTTGAATAACCTGCCTACTTACCATAGGTTGGTTACTAAAGTTAAGTAGTTACCATAGGTAGGTTAACATACCTACCATACTAACCATATCTACTATACCTACCATACCTACCATACCAACCATACTTACCATACCTACCATACCTACCATATCTACCATATCTACCATACCTACCATACCTACCATATCTACCATATCTACCATACCTACCAAACCTACCATACCTACCATACCTACCATACCAACCATACTTACCATACCTACCATACCTACCATATCTACCATATCTACCATACCTACCATACCTACCATATCTACCATATCTACCATACCTACCAAACCTACCATACTTACCATACCTACCATACCTACCATACCTACCATACCTACCATACCTACCTTACCTACCATACCTACCATACCTACCATACTTACCATACCTACCATACCTACCATACCTACCATACCTACCATACTTACAATACCTACCATACTTACCATACCTACCTCACCTACCATACTTACCATACTTACCATACTTACCATACCTACCATACCTACCATACCTACCATACTTACTTACCATACCTACAATACCCACCATACCTACCATACCTACCATACTACCATACTACCCTACTACCATACCTACCATACCTACCATAACTACCATACCTACCATACCTACCATACCTACCATACCTACCATACCTTATATACCTACCATACCTATATAACTAGCATACTGGTTCGAGACCAGTGATGATATGAAACGTTTTAGGCTTACTTTACGTTTCTAGAGACTTTTAGCTTGACGTTTATGGCAAACGCAAACCGTTAACAAAGTTTGTGTTTTAACTCCACTATCTCTAAGTGTGCGGCAATTTCGCTAAAATAATTACAAACCTTCTACATAAAACGTGCGATGTTCAGCCGAATGTTAGAAAGCAATAAGCTATTACTGATGTATTTAGAAAAATTGCAGAAGTAGTTTATTGAAATTATTGTAAAAGCAGCAAATTTAGCTTTGCCGTAAGTGTTTCACGTTCACCGTATAAAATTTATTGCTTGAACGACTGCATACACGAAATTATTTTACGCTTTAGAACTCCGACTGAATGTAACAGTTATTAAGACAAAAGCCGTTTCTGAATGGATAGATTGTGTAATGGAGTGTGCAACTGAGATATGTTGTAGATCTATCAACTTCAAGAAGAAATTGGCTTCAAAGAATGATTCAAACTGTGAAATGTTACACAATCTGGTTTACAATACATCTGAGAGTTTACTGGAGAAGAACTCCTCTTATGATTATGTTTATCTTGTTAACCCACAAAAGGTATTATTCAGTAGTATAAAATTACATCTCTGTTGTAATCGTCACTTATTTGCGACTTTCACTGTAAGACATTTAAACATAAACCTGACTGATTTAGCAAAGTTCAATTTTCTGGGTTGGTTTAGCGTTGTTATGATCCTGCATTGCAAACAACAAGGAATTAACATTCTTCATTACAGGGTTACAATGAAAGTTGTTTTAAAAAGACGTCCGATGAAAACGAAGCAGGTATGTGTTGATGATAGAAGACTTAAAACACTGCAAAATCTCGATGAAGTTACTGGAAAATAAAACATATCTCCCAACGAGCAGAGGTCGATAATAAGCCTTTGGTCACTTTGATGCCTACAAATGCGTTTCATTCGTTTAATTAAACTTATTCTGAACAATTTAGTCAAAGACTGCGCTGATATCTATCATAAAGGAATACAACAAAGTGGAATATATAAAATTAATCCAGACGGGAAGGGAAGTTTCAAAGTGTTTTGTGATATGACAACATCAGGTGGAGGATGGACTGTATTTCAACGTCGTCTTGATGGAAGTGTTGACTTCTACCGAGGATGGCAAGATTACAAACAAGGTTTTGGTAACTTGAGCGGAGAATATTGGCTTGGTCTTGACAAAATACACATGATGACAAAAATTTCACAAAATGAACTTCGTATCGACATGGATGATACATCTGGAAACACCAGATACGCTCATTATGATTCATTTAAAGTCAGCAGCGAAAATGAGAAGTACAAGTTGAATGTTCGAGGTTATGATGGTAAGCATTTTACATTAAACTGAGTTTGATATTATACGATTGTCCAGCTCTCTTTACAATCAACTTTGCAGTGAACTATAAATCTGGGGGCTTTTTAAAAAAACGTAGTTAACTTTTAACTATAGTTAGTGGCAGAACTGACCAATCAGAGTTATGTATTTCTGAGTTAACTACAACGCGATTTAACTACGCAAAATGTAGTTAACAACAACCTGCCCCAGTATATCAAATATTGTATCGGGAAAATCATCATTGAGTCATGGATGTAATTTTTAAACGATATAGTTTAAACGAGGCAACTTTGGTATTTCGCGGATTAACCCCAGAAATTTAAAATATGTCCAATTTGAGAATTTGCAAAACTTTAGAAAATTACAAAACAAAATGAAAACAAAAATCTCAGGACTCAGAGATATTCGATAAGATGCCGTCGAGGCCACGTTGCTATGCTGTTTCAAATTGTTCACAAATGTTTTCAGAGTCTTATACCTCATTACATTGATACGATTTATAATAATGTGAAATTCATGAATATTTCATCAGGTTTATTAATTATGTAACACTAGGTTTGTTTCCTTTGGGAGTTAAAATGCATTCTAAGCTCTGTAAATAAAAAAGAACAGTTTTATCAAATCGTTTTTCTAAGACACGCGCCACGTTGAATTTGTTCAATTGGTTTTAAACACTTTCGCATTAATTAACCACGTCCTGTTGATGGTACACATGGGTCTGTCATGGGAATTGTCAAACTCCAGCCAAGTTTGCGGCTAATTGAACGTCACTTACAACAACTCTTTACAATGGCATTTATTTAATGAGGTGTTTCAGCCGCGTCATCGTCGTGTTGCCGTCCTACATGCTTAAGATCCCTGCTATTTACGTGATAGATTTGATCAAACGACGAAATCTGTATTATTTTTTAACTTTGATTAACAATATTATATCCTACGACTACCAGTAAGCATCATCAAACCTTCGCTTTTTCCGAACAAAATAAATTTCTACTAAATGGATTTAATCAAGATTACTGTTGAGTATTCGTACAGCATCCTTTACAATGACGGGATGAAACCGTGAACATAACATTTGCGAAATCCGCCACAACTTCAAATCACAAATTCACATTGAGGTCAGGGCATTTGACGTGTAAATATCAAAGCGCTGTTAAATACCCTGGTAATAGAAACGACTCTATATTTATATTTATTAATGTTGCAATTGCTTTAATACAAAAACACATTAACAGGAATTTGTGAGAGAATGGGTTGTCGGGTTGAAGTACTTCCCCAACAGTTTTTACAAAATTTGTTTGACAATTAATACACAATTCATCCAAAATAGGCCTGGGGTTGTCATTCTCTCCCTAACCTGAAAAAATAGATAGATAGGGTATTAAAATTACCTTGTCGCCCAAAGGATGAATTGCGTAATATTTACAAAATTCAGTAAAATAAAGTAATTTAAAAATACAACATTTTTAATTTTAGTCTAACCATTTATTAAATGTAATTACGTTTTAGCTGCCATCTTAAATATAAAATATTTATTCGGCACGATCAGTATGAATATGTGGTATAATAAATTTACGTTTTATTAATAAATTTACGTTATTTTCATTTCTAAGATAATAATGTCTTAGCGGTGATAATCGCCTGGAACTAAAGGGGGATAATCCTCTATAATTAAAGTTGGGATTTTAATCCCCTCTGAGAAAGGCGCGATAATCCCCTCTACGCAATTGAAGTTAGGGTGATAACTCTCCTGGAAATAAGGAAAGGGTGATTGACACACGAGGATTACCCGGGTGCTTTGCTGCTCTTTCCATCTTCTTCGTTGACGCAAGTAATACGCACCAAAGGCTTAGTTCAATTTTCCATCGAAGGCTTTTCGCATGGAAGTCTCGTTTGTCTTCACATTAACTGCTAAGTTGTAATTTTCACTCTTATTCGTAGCCAATAAAAATCCCTCTAGCATATACAACTAGCGAATCACCATTCCATTTTTAATAAATCCGAATTGCTTTATTCAGAACTTGCGCCTCGCGCCCGTTACCATGGGAACAGAGACATTTGAAAATGTTCTAATGGCCGACAAACCGGTATTAATCGTCTTTATATTGCAAACGAGGTCGGTGTCCCAGAATTTTTTTCTTGAAACGTTTGCTCTATGGGGCTTTTATATCTATAAATAAGTTTTAAAAAAATTCTGTCATGGAAAACTTTTTTAAGCCAAAATAACGTTTTTGTAAATAAAAAAAATCGCTCATTACAGAATTCTTTTGAAACTTTTTTATACATAAAGCATCTATAATAATGTAAACGTTTAATGCAAAAAAAATTAGGGTCACCAAACATCGTTGCGATTTAAACACGATTAAACCCTGTTTTCGACCATTTTGAAACGTGTCTGCTTTCATGGTAACGGGCGCCAGGCACATGTTATGAATAGATTTCCGCTCAAGGTATGTTTCTTGCAAAGTATATTAACTGCGTACGATTTTGGCATTAATTGCACTCCATTACCATAATTGATTTTAAGAGGCCATTCATGCATAGGTTTTTACATTTTAAGGTACCGCGGGGGACTCGTTACAAAATCATAACAGAATGGCTTTCAGCACCAAGGATTCTGACAATGATATTTGGGTATATAACTGTGCAATGAGATTCAAAGGAGCCTGGTGGTATCGTTATTGTCATAAATCCAATTTGAACGGTTTGTATCATTATGGCGCACACACATCGTACGCTGATGGAGTCAACTGGTTCCATTGGAAAGAACATCATTATTCTCTGAAATCAACGTCGATGAAGATACGACCACGTGAATTTGGAAAAAACAAATAAAGTTGTTGAAAGATAAAGAAGGTTTACGTTTACTTTCTAAAAAGTGTAGAGCACTAACACGCCACTTGTTGGTTTTTATAAATATTTAAAATCGTGTAATAAATGACGTATATTTACATAGAGGAGATTCTTCTCCTACGCCTAGCTTAATCCGAAGTCAAAGTTCAGAAAATAAACTAACTGTATAAAAGTGTATCGTAAGTTGTTCATTAGAATGAGCTTATTTTCATGACAGCTATATCTTCGTTTGTCACATTACATATAAAACATTCACTTTTTTTTTCGAAGATCGTCCGTATTGAGACGTACGATTAAACGTGCTTGTAAATTTCCGGTTATATTTAAAATGCGCGTTAATTACAAGACACCCGATTGGTCCTCATCCATATATTGGAGTAATTACGTCTGGCAAACCCTCCACCTTATTTTTAGGCACATCACGGCTGCTTGAGCAGAAATTTTCCCCTTATCCATACCAATTTTGCACGACATCTTTAAGTGGTGCAATTTTTTTTAACACGACGTCAACAACAATAACAGGGAAGAATTGTAAAAAGAATTTTCCATCGGCTTTTCTGTATTTGATATGTTTAATTCATTCCAACCATGAAAGCATTCACAATTCTTCACAATTTTATTCCTTCAAACTTGCTCTGATAAACAACAAACCAGTTTTGTCGGAATGAGTCATTGCAATAATTGTATACCAGGTGTACTATCCCGATAAATAGTGGTAAAAAGCAACACATTGTCAACACTGTAATAACGATAAAAAAATGTTTCTCTTCTCGGTAAATTCCTGAGATAAAAGCTACAACACTCATCCTGCCTTACGGTTCGTTCTTGTTGCTGACGCATGCGACCATGGCGGATTTATCGAAGATTCCATTGCAATTGCGTTGTTTTCCCAAACACGCGTAAATTTGTGTAAAAGATTGGACACATGCATCGTAATTATCGCTACTCTGGTTTTAATAAATGAAAGTAATCACCACACAAAATTCACTTTCATGGCCCAACGTTTCGACACTCCGGTCTAGTGTCTTAATCAGGGGTGATCTGTTGTTGAAACTCAGTTCCTTATATACTCTCAAAATGACGTAATCTATCAATCAGATGTAAATATTCTTTTGGCAAATAGCTTCCATCTTCCATCCCTATTTAGGACACAAATACTCGCATTAATATGCCAGGCTTCCAAACAACGCCTTTGTCAATAACGATCATTAGTGGTAATGACTTTCGAATCGTTGCACGCAATGGTATAGTTAGTTTTAGTTTTTTAAGTTTCACTTAAATTTGCTAAGAAAAGAGCAATATCTCAACAGAATTGAGTTTGGATTGTTGACGTTCTCGCAAATAACAGAATGCACTCAAAAAATACAAATAAAATGTTACCTTAACTCAGTTTCAAGAGAAAAGACATATAGAAAGCTATCTTCCATAAAAACAATAACTTGCAAAGAAATTGTCCGAAACATACGAGTTGCAAAATACAAAAATATCGCATTTTTGCACGAACTTTTCATGAAGGAAAAAAAACCTGCCCCATGGTAGGACAATTGGCAAAAATAAAGGACTATAAGTGTCCTAAAACTATATCAAAATTACAAGGTAAAAAACAAAATTTACTCGAAAGCCAAAGCAAAAGTTTGAAGCGTATTTGTGCTCACAGCGAAAAATTCACATTTACTCACCCTGTAGTGGGAAAATACAGTAGTCAGATAAGGTAGATGCAGAGAAACAGATTGAAACTTTTTTCCATTTCCCCACCTTCGTCTGGTTCCTCGTCGTTTCCTCCATAAACACAGGAGCCTGTCTTTATATAAAAATATTCAGCGATATATGAATGGGGCTTCGTAAACTTCACATAAGATGAGATGAGATGAGATGAATTTGACGTGTTTAATCTCCACTCGATATCATTAATTTTACCGCCATGTAATTGATGAGATCATCATCGTTGGCCAATGTTGCCAGTCACTTTCTCGTTGCCTTGAAAGCTTTTGCGTTATCACTAACGATCAAGTTTGCATGGAATCTCCCTCTCGCAACGAACTTCTTCGACGTTTTCTAAAACTCACTAGCTGTATCTCTTTGCACAGGTCTAGATGTACCGCTCTCGCGCTGGCACAAGTGAACATAGCAACAGAAACCTTCCTGGTTTTATTCTTACTCATTTCAGTGGACGGGTTTTCTTGTTTCTGAAAAGTCTCCAATAACTGGTGCTCGTAAGAAGATCCTCTCCCAAACTCCGTCACTTTTCACGTTTTCGTCTCCGTCTTTTACCAGGCTTTCTTTCACCGTCGCATTGATATCGTCGTTTATGGCAGCCCCTGCTACTAGTACCACTTCCGCTCAACCTCTTGCTTTGACCGTCTCTATGCTAGCTTTACGCCGTTTTTGCATGTAACACTGCACCTCTCTTTGCTTTTGTTCCATCGCAGCTGCTTCCATTTCTTTCCACTGTATTGCTTTGAACTTCATCTGCTCATCATTGAGTCGCTGCTGAATGTATAACTCGCTCTTTAGTTTCTCTTCCACTTCCCGATAATTGATTTTTTCCATCTGCTTTTTCAACTTCGTACGAATGTCCCGAAAAGATACAAAGAAACCCTGGTCACCTGGTGTTTCTTGCTCCCATCTTTGATATTGTCCAGACTAGTATATTTGTCCATTAAATGTTCTATTTTCAAATCTCTTGTCTTTAGTAGTCGGTTTATTAGCTGTCCAGCCCGATCATCAGAATGTTTTACATCATCGATGTCGTCGGTGGTGATGAATTCCTCTGTCTCACCGATTTGTAGTTCGGGAAATGCTAATTGCTTTTGAAATTTTTCCTCTGGAGCCATGTTCCCTTTGTAGGTAATTTGTTCAATAAAGAAACCGCTGCCAAACACGAAAAATTTACTCAAAGGTTTGGTATATATCATGCCGTGGTTGCCACTTCCATCCAGTGTGGGGAATTCGCTGTGAAATTTGCCTCGCTGCCGCTCCGGCGCTCCCTGCACCACTGGATAGAAAGTTCTCTCAATCGTTCGAAATATAAACATACTTTGCATTAAAACACCAATAAAATGTTAAAATAAAATGTTAAAAACTTGTCAAATCTCCGGAAAGCGTGTTCGTTCGTGTTCGATTCTAAAGATCTTCGATATCACTATGGTAACACTGAACTGCATAATGTAACTGGATAATAAAATGCAAAATGTTCGATAACGATTCTCGACACCCCCAACGTGACATGCGAAAAATATCCGCACTGTACCCCGGATGTAGTGGCGTATGAGTTCTACGAGTGTTTTAGTTCTCAGTGAAATACCCCATGCATATAATAAACCAGAATATGGTGTACATTTGACCGAAGGGAGCATCGAAATATATGGTACCCTATACATCTTTGACCGCGAGATGTAGTTCAAGAAATTCAAAGAAATCCTATTCTTTATGACAGATCGCTTTCTCCCCTTGAGATCAACCACAGTCCGCTCGTCTGATGACGCCATAACTTAAGCGCTGCCTTAAGAAACTTCAAGTGGCTCTCTACCGTCATGCATGGAACTGAAATCTTCTGAGACATAAAAATACTCGCCCCGGTGGCTTGTGGCCACCACTTTTTTTTCATATCACAAATGACGTCGTACCGTGTACCTGTAACTGAACAGACAGGGTTTCAATGTTATCTATTTGTTAATACTTCTATATGAATTTTTCCAAAGCAACCTAAACGATCAGTTGTAATACCAAGTCCGAAACCATGCAACGCCACCGCTTCCATTGAAGATGATCTTAAACCAATAAGTCTTACTTCGCACATATAGCTAAGCTGTGGGAGGGTTTTCTCTTAATTCCTTGCTTTCAGAAATGAGAGATTGTTTTCTCAAAATTTCGAATGAATTCCTGTTTTATTTCGCTAATTTAATGTCTTTCGATGTTGTTTAAAAACGTAGAAACTTCAGGCTAATGTTGTGCAAACATCTGTGATTATTAGGCTGTAGATTTTGTGGCATTTCTTCAGGTAATTTCGCGGATAATTAATTTTTACATTTATACGAAACTATAACTGTAATGTTTTAATAAACTCTTTCCTTCCTTGTCGTTATGATATTGACGATGCATGTAAACAAAGTAAGCACGCGCGGAAGTATCACACGCGCAGTCAAAGTCTGGGCTGCCTATGTCTGCACTTGAAAATTTTTATTGTTTTGATTTTTTTTCTGAAGCCTCAAATGATGAAATTTTAACAGTTACCTAAGCTGGTAGGGTCTATAAACTCCTGTAGAAAAAGGGTGACATCACCTTCCATACTGAGACTGTATTTTCACGAAATGATGAAAATATTGGCTATCGACGCTTTGCCATTGAGTCATTCCATAATATAAACTTATAGTTAGAGGTAATCTAGGCCCAGCCCCCAGGAGATTATTTTCTTGGTTTAAAATGGCGAGGGGTGCTGCATTTCATGTATTTCTAGTCATAAAATAAAACGAGTAATATTTTTATCAATAGCTATATGTGTTATGACCTGCTTTTGTTAAATAATATATAAATTAACACACGTCTTTGCATTAACAGATTTTTTGCTAAAAAGGAACAGTAATATTTATGAGCAGCTGCCAGTGTCAGAGTTAAAATATTTGTTGATATACAGTACTTGGAACAAGTGAAATGAATGAAATTATTTTTATTGCCGTATAAGAAACATTCAATATAAAGTGTTGAAGATAACCCAACTTTGACAAAACTGTCAAAGGCTAAAATGCATTCCATTGAATGGCTGACTTATATAGCTACAGTTTAAATTTTCACACAGTTGCAATGATGAAAATAACTCGAAATGTAAACACAAGCGGGGCAAAGAACCAAACAATTAATGTTTTATTCATTTTGTGCGAGGAGATAGAAAAAATTAAAGATAACGTCCAAAACCCACTTTTTGTGGATTTGCGTGCAATGTAGCTATATTTGAATGGGAGCTTAGACAGTCTAAACGTTTTGACCATATATATAGGACTAATCAGTCATCACGTTCAGCAATTGTTGCCATAACAACGTAAATATTTTTGATTCCATAATTTGTTACTAACTTCTTAATCAAAAGACATTTTGCTACATCATCTGGCATTTCACATTCAGTTTCAATTAACAAAAAGTTGAATCAAGAATCTCAATTTTTAGCATATCGAAAAATGCTGTTTTAAGTTGATTTTGAAAATGACATGTTTTAAATTTTAAAACCCTTGAACTTGTTTTAGCGCTGATTTAAATTTTCCTTTCTCATTATTACCTGTTATGGACAACCGCCCCAGACGTAGTTATAATATTCAATTACGCGCAGACTTTACCGTTTACGTTGACGGAAAACGATGTCCGGTAAAAAGTTATTCGCGCCAGTTAATCTCAAGTCGAAGTTAAAATAAAGCGGCAGGCACTTTTAACATGCAATAACTTATGTAACAAATTAGTTTCATATAATTATTTTTCGCGCTTTTTTAATTAACTTAAAACCGAAAAAGTTATTATCGAGAACTGAATGAAAGATTACTACGAACTCGACTTTTTTTCACGCTTGACGTTTCTAAGGTCAAACTATTCATTGTTGCTATTCTATAATAATTGTCAATGAAATTTTCAGACTGATCTAAGGAAAGATAGTTATGCATTTTAGTATAATAGAGCGTATCCTCGTTGATTTATAAACCGTTTGAGAACTTTGCTTTAGAGACAACATTCTCCCTAACCGCATTATATTTATTGCTCGGCGCTATACGACTGTTCATAAACTGCCAAATAAGAGACGTTGATGCTTATTATGCAGCTTGCACTTAAATAATTGATTTGCTGTTGAGTGTTTGTAATAAGAATAAGAATAATTTATTTGCTAGCATGCATATCAGTATTTTGCTACTGTTCTAGGCAAACCAACTGTTCAAAGTCCTGAAATAATTTCCAAAAATCTTATACCAGAGTTGTGGTAAGTCATTTTAAACATTAAAATTTATTCGCACTTACTTTGTTTCGCAAATGTGACCAAAACTTTGTGTTCATTTGGGTGTTTGTAAGTTATTAATGATTAAAGGATTACTAGCAAGCGAGTTTTCTGCGCAAAACAATACACATACACACGCGCGTTTTATTTTGTGGGAGAAGGGGTTTGGGGGAAGCACTCTTAGAATGTAATTCTTTGTGGTCAATCTCTTATCCCAAAGACTCGTTGGCCTTTAAATAGTTGTCCTGGGGTTTATATTAACACGCCACATACTATATACATGCATATCAGTATTTTGCTACTGTTCTGGGCAAACCAAGTGTTCAAAGTCCTGAGTTGTGTTAAGTCATTTTAAACATTAAAATTCATTCCCACTTACTTCGCAAAATGTGACCAAAACTTTGTGTTCATTTTGGTGTTTGTAGGTTATAGTCTAAGATGCCCTTTATGATCGAAGCCGTTCTGAGGATTACTAATAAGCGGGTTTTCCGCGCAAAACAATACACATACACACGGTTAATTTTTTTGGGGGAGAATGGTTTGGGGGAAATACTCCTATAGGATTTAATTCCTTGTGGTCAATCTCTTATCCCAAAGACTAGTTCTTAAATGGTCTTTAAATCGTTGTCCTAGGGCTTATATTCTCCCAATTAGGACCCCGATGATGTCATGTGCACACGCTATGCATAGTATATACCATAAAAGAGGTAGCCAACCTCTAAGACATCAACCTGACCAACCGCACACGCTAGTTGAACAGTATACGATTCGACTGATCTATGATTACAATAACTTAATGCTGAGTCTATGGGCTTGAACGTGACAATCAGAAGCTCTTCCGCTACAACCCTTGAAACTCAAGCAATTTTAGATGACGCATTGAACATTCTTCTTAGTTTTAGAATATTTCAAGCAGTTTAAAAATTTAGTTTGTGAATTAATTAGGGATCCAAAGTTGGCTAGCGCTATTAGAGAAAAATAAACAAATTGTATCAATTAAGCAAACTACATGCTTACCAGAATAAACGTCAGTCACGAGTTTACCTCAGTCGTGTCGCACAATAAATCGCCATCTTGGCTAAACTGACACTCGAAATATATCTTTTTATTGCAGCGTCGGTTAAAAAATATTAAAAGTATTCACCCCACGAGGCAGAAATCTCTGGCTGTCCCTCCTTTCCTGAACATAGATATGTGTTGTTTTAAACATGTGTATTAATAAAATTAATATCGTTCTTCTTGATAAAAGCAAACGAGCGAGGAGAACTATTCACTGTGTTTAGATGCTCAGAGAATAGAGCTTCAGGAAAGGTTTGCATACATGTTTGTCTGTCACTATCTACGAAAATTGCATCACATCAAAATAAATGCAGAAGAATAATTATAAAGCCATCTTGCATGAATGTAGTCCCGCTAAATGTTAATCTTTTTGTGTTCGTTGACTGTGAAAACAATGAATTTCTAATAATGAATTTAATAATAACAATGAATTATTAATTCTAATGACTTGAAATTTGCATTGCGTGACAAATTCGGGAACATGCATGGCTACGTCACTGCCCACTTTTAGTGCCACGTTGTATGTAATTTCTGCTCATAAACACTTAAACTACAGTGCCTTTGACAAAATGCCCAAGCCTCGACTTCACGTCACTAAAATTAAGTAAATATTTGTAAAACTCGAAGGCCATCACGTAAAATTATTTGAATCGATGATTAAAAAGCAAATCAAGCAATGGCTATTTTGTTACGAAATTTAATTTTGGTGATGATCACGAAATAAAACGAGAATTATTTTTACAATCATGGGTATTTCAGAGGTTTTGCGATAAATAAACAAAAATCAATAGTAATTAAGAGAGTTGTAGCCACTGAAGCAAACAGCAATGGTACAACTTTACTTAGAGAACAAGTCTTGATCACTCTCAATGTTTAATATTAATATTGATAGTCTCGATGATCCATAGTGGAAAAATGTTAAACACACGAGAAGATTGCTAAGTTTGCCATCAAACATTGGCGGATCCAGCATTTTGGCTGACTGATGCGCTGTTTTGAACCATACTTCAACACCTCTATGGGGTTTATATTTCGGTCAGTGGTGGATTTAGGGGTGTGCAGAATAAATTACACAGCTTAAAATCGAAATCGCATTAGTAGATTTTGATGTAAAAATATACTTTTCAAATCTATAAACAATAGCGTTTTTATTAAGATGTTTTGAATTTAAAATTAAGGTGTGTAATTTATTCTCCGCATAACTAGATCCGCCACTGTTTTCGGTACATTGGTCCATACCAAGGTCGAGCATATCATATTCCGGTGTATTCGACCATATCAAGTTTGAATATCTCATATTCGATTATATACCCTACCCCAGTATATTCGACCATTTTTTGGCACATTTTCTTGTCGTATATTGAAACATTCAATATGAAGTACTGAAGATAAGCCAACTTTGAAAAAGCTGTGAAAGGCTAAAATACATCCCATTGAATGGCTGACTTACAACTTAAATTTTCTCGCAGTTGTAATGTTAAAAATAACTCACTCGAAATGTAAACACAAGCGGGCAAAGAACAAAGCAATTAATGTTTTATTTATTTTGTGCGAGGAGGTGGAAAAGATTAAAGATAACGTCCAAAACCCACTTTTTATGGATTTGCTTGCAATGCATATTTCAATAGGAGCTTATACGGTCTAAATTTCTGACCATAATTTATGAGACTATTAATCAGTCATCACGTTCAGGAATTGTTGCCATAACAACGTAAATATTGTGGACTACAGAATTTGTTTACTAACCTAATAAAAGCATATTTTGCTACATTATAGGGCATATAACATTCAGTTTCAACAAAAAGATTGCATCAGAGATATTTATTTTTACCCAATCGAAAAATGTTGTTCAGAGTTGATTTTGAAAATGACTACTTTTAAAGTGTACATCCCTTGGACTTGTCTTAGGCTGATTTAAATTTCTATTTCTCAACATTACCTGTTATGCACAGCTAATTGCTCGGAGCTTTACGACTTTTCATAGGTTGCCAAATAACAAACGTTAATATTTAATATGCAGTTTGCAATTAAATAATTTGTTGAGTGCTGCTAGCATGCATATTAGTATTTTGCTACTGTTCTAGGCGAACCAACTGTTCAAATAAAGTCCTGAAATAATTTGCAATATATCCTAATCAGGGTTGTGGTAAGTAATTTTAAACATTAAAATTTATTTCCACTTATACTAGCTTTGTTTCGCAAAATGCAGCAAATTTTTTTGTTAATTTGGGAGTTTGTAGGTTATAGATGCCTTTAGATACCAGAAACTTCATTAAATTTCCCTCGGTTAATTAACAAAGAACGTACTTAAACTTGAAAAAGAGCTGGCATGTCATTCAGTATAATACGTATATAGATACTGAATATAGTAGCGACAGCAAATTTTGCTTTTGTTCTGTTTGTTTGTTTTATCGCTCTACCGATATGGTATCGAGCGCCCTACGTATTCATACCAAAACTATAACCTTCTTGGTTTATTTACTTGGTATATGTATGATTGATGACTTAAATGAACCATAAGGTTATAGTTTTGGTATGAATACGTAAAGCGCTCGATACCATATAGGTAGAGCGATAAAACAAACAAACAGAGCAAAAGCAAATTTGCTGTCGCTGCTATATTCAGTATCTATATTATTATACTGAATGACATGCCAGCTCTTTTTCAAGTTTAAGTACGTTCTTTGTTAATTAACGGAGGGAAATTTAATGAAGTTTCTGTTATCAACGAATATACGTCAGATTTCTTGACAAGCAATTCATGAGACTTCGTTTTCATGCATAATTTTTAATAAATGCCTTAGAAATGAAATTAGCCTTGTGTTTAAGATCCGGTTTCCAGCGTTTGCAGCGAAATTACGACCAACATGAAATTCTAGCTATTTTAGATGACGTATTGAATATTCTTCTTAGTTTTAGATTATTTCAAGTCATCTCATTAAAAAATTGTGAAATAAGAGACCAAACTTGGCTAGCGCCATTAGAGAAAAATATAAACAAACCGTATCAATTAAGCAAACTACGTTCAAAGCGAATGTCAGTCACGAGTTTGCCTCAATTGTGTCGCCGATTTATCTCCATCTTGGCTAAGCTATAACATTTGAAAAATATCTCGCTATTGCAGCGAAGGTTAATTGATGTTAAAAGTATTTTCCCCACGGGGAAAAACTCTCTATAGGTGTTACATATGTGTTAATAAAATTAATATCGTTCTGTTTCACAAAAAAAAACGAGCAAGGAGAACTATTTCTTTTAACTAAAAGGATTCAACGAAATTGCGTATAATACATTGTGTTTAGATGCTCAGAGAATAGAGCTTCGAGAAAGGTTTGCATGCATGCTTGCCTGTCAATATCTACGAAAATTGCATTACAAAAAAACAAACAAATGCCGAAGAATATAAATTCATCTTTTATGAAATTCAAGATATACAAGAACAAAACAAGTCTGTCAAAAGATGAGTGTAAATTTTTATGCGCTTACCCCATGTCCGATAATTATTTAATTATTCATGTCCGATATTTAATTATTCATGTCCGATATTTATGAGTTTATGTCTCCACGCCAGCCGTACAATTTAGTCAAAAGCAAAAGTTAAAAAGCAAATCAAGCAGTGGCTATTTTGTTACGAAATTTAATTTTGGTGATGATCATGAAATAAAACAAGGATTATTTTCATGAATATAATTATATCTGTTATGGCGTGCTTTTGTTAAATAATAACATTAACACACATCTTTAGCTTGGCCAAAAACATGTCAGTGTAAAAGTTTAAAATATTTATTGAGGCTGATGCAGAGTTTTTTTAAACAAGTGAAATAATTAAGGTGGCTCCCTACAGTTTTAAGAATATTGAAAACTAATGATTTAGATTGAAATTTTTGGCAGAAAATTTCTTGCTAAACGAAATGAAATTTTCCAGATATATTAACCAACATTCTAACAGTCGAAAATTGTCTTTGAGTATCACGTCATTACCGTTGTTATGGTAACAAGGGCGATTCAATATGGCCGTCATTACACCTATTCCCGCATTTTACTCGAAAACGAGATCGGTTACCCCAATTTTTTATTTTATAAAAAGTTTTCTCACAAAAAAATGGGAAATTTGAGCAAGTTTAAAAAAAAATCCTTTTGAGCCAAAAAAATTCTATTACGAAAAATCCCGTTTTTTAATTTTTAATAATTTTGGCTCAATTGAATTTTTTTTAACTGTTTCAAATTTTCCATTTTTTTATAAGAAACCTTTTTTAAAAAATAAAAAATTGGGGTAACCGAGCTTGTTTTCGAGTAAAATGCGTAAATAGGTAAAATGTCAGCCAAATTGAATCGCCATTGTTACCATAACAACGGTAATGACGTCATTCTGATGAGCAATTTCTGACTGTTAGAATGTTGGTTAATATATCTGGGAAATTTGCAGCTCCTTAGCGAGAAATCTCGTGCTAAAATTTTAAATCAAAACCACAAGTTTTCAATATTTTAAAAAATTGTAGGGAGCTACCCCAAATGTATAAATTATGTGCTGTTGCTACTCTGAGTCACCAACCGGGCAAGTTGAAAAATTAGCCTGACCACGGTGGGAATCGAAACCGCGACCTTTGAAGACGGTCAAGACGGTTCGAGTAATTGATATTTTGGAACTCAGTCTAGTCCCTCCATATCTGTGACTCAGATTACATGTAGCAACATCACATACATTTAATATACACACCTGAGTCTTTGCATTATCACTACCAAGTGAAATAAACTAAATTATTTTTTATCACCGTATATTGTAAGGAAACGTTGAAAATAAAGTGTTCAAGCTAATACATTATGTAATCTTTGTCATGATAACTGTCAAAGGCTAAAATGCATCTGATTGAAGCGCGTGTATGTGGATTACCTGGCTATAGCAACTTAATTGAATTTTAAAATTTTCACGAAACACAGGCAACATCATATCTCACGATCATTTCCTACTCGTCTTTTTCCTGGTAATAACTGCGAAAAATATCTTCAAGAATACCAAGTCAGACATTAAACGATTTAAACGATGTTTGTAGCGGCCAGCTTGAGCTTGCTGTTGCTTGCTATTGGAAACATTTCTGCAAACCAATGTTCCCCAACGAATTACGACACAATCGTAAGAGGTGAGTATTGTCGAAAAATGTAAAATAAAAATATTGTCGTGAAACACCAGTTAAATGTCTCATATGGTGAAATCAGTCCCGAATAAAACACATAATTTTAGTTGAAATTTGGACATTAAAATATTTGTCTTTAAAGGATTTTGTTTAAATTTTTAGGAGGTCCATCATTGCCTGCGGATGAAATAATATCAAGACACAATGTTACATCTTCAGTTGTTATGTTAGGATGTCACACTCACTGCAAAGACGAAGACAAATGTGTTGGATTCAACTACAGAACAACAAAAAATGTTGAAAATTGTCAACTGACAAACGTTACTAGAAAGAAAGAAGAAACGAAAACGGGAGATTGGATATTGATGCAAGATGTTGAAGCGGTAAGATTGATGAATGACAAAGCCAGTGATATTTAACGGTTTTAATTTTATACGGCAAACCACGATAATTAGCATCGGTATAACATCATTGTTTATACCGATGCTAAACACAGGCAAAATATAAACGATAGAAATAATAAATCGTCATTGGACGAGCGTTGTAATGACACGAAGTAATTAGGGTTGTTTATCACCATATTCGGTATTTAACAATGGTGTTGTTCGAAATTTGTTTACGATTTTGTTTAAAGAACTTAAAAATATGTTCCGAAATCCGAAGAAATTTGAAGTTTTAATTATAAAATAATAATAAACATACTGCGGTTTTGGCAGCTTTTTTTTCGCGAACTAGATTTTTTTTGCGAACTAGAACAGATTAGATTGCTCGCATCAAACATCCGTAGTACAAGTCGATGTAATAATTTCAAAAATCCGTATATTTGTAATCAAGGTATGAACTTTCAATTTTGATTTCACGAGAAAAAACTTGTTATTATTGAACTTTAAGAAAATATTTTCTCCATATCTGCGATCTTTGTTTCACTCTATATACGTGTCAAAATACAACCCCTTTCTCTCTTAAGAAATAATGAGAAATATACGGTATATCATGTTAGTCTATACCGACAAAAATGAACATTGAAGATTTAAAGATATAATAAATTATAAAGAATAAAGAAATTATATATAGATATGTAGTCGTAATTTTCAAAATACTGTTGTATTAGTGCAATTAACGTATTCGTGCAATTAATGTATTAGTGCAATCAATGTAGTGATATATTAATTAATGCATGTATAAAGAATAAAATCAACATTTATTAACTTTATTATTGTTGTAATCAATTTCGTATAGGCAAAGAATAGAGTTAAAAAAGAAAAGGTTACCAGGAAATCAGGTAATTTCCTTTAGAATTATCACAAATAACGTAATTACAAATTTTGGAACATTCGAAGCAAAACTACGAGAATTTTGATATTAGCTAAATTAATTCTTAACTATTATATATACAATGAGAAATGTTTTAAATTATCTGTCAATACGCGCCACAATAATGCATTACGTAACCAATGAACCTCTGGACTCTTTTGGCGAATTTTGATTGGGATTGGGACCATAAGGCATAACCCTTACCAAAAACGAACCATTCGCCTGCGAAGTAGAAATGTTGATCGAGCCCGAAGGAGCTGCTTGAAAAATTTGTTAGATCAGTAGTCTAATTTCAAAGTAATATGATGAATAAAATGTTTTCATGCTTGAGAGATGGTATTAGTGAAAATTTTGAGTGTGATTCATGAAAAACTCAAATTAAAACCAAGATGAGTTGAGAAATATGTGTCAAATACAGGTCCACATGCAGGAATCGAACCTACGCCTTTGGTACGCCGATGCAATACTTCTGCATGATACAGAGATAACTCACAAAACAAGCGTAGTTGGTGAGGATTTAGCAAAGACGTAGGTAATTCCTGCGAGTAGGTGACAATAAATCACTGAATTAAGACTTTGTACCACTTTACCCAATGAAGCAGAATTTTTTCGGGTCTAATTTTGAGTGGAAATGGTATACACATATATAGGCTCCTAACGGTTATCTCTGTCACTGTTGCCGCGGATTTGCTGCAAATGGGAAAACATGCTCAGGCAAGATTATCATAATCGATTTTTTATACGCAACTCAAATTTAGGATGGCACTGGGATCGCAAAGGCGTAGATTTGATTTCTGTCCCATGATCGATAGTTGATTCATTTTTCTTAACTGTTCCCTGACTGAAAGTCCCACAAAATCAATATAATTATATCTTCCGGGCGTAGGAAGAATCTCAATTTTTTCTTTGGCGGACAAAAGCTTTCAGAGGAAATTTTTAGTTAAGAAAAAGGGCAGCTAAAATGCGCATATGCATGGGTGGTTTGGTTGCTTTAGTTTGTTTTTTCCCCTGAAAATCTGAGGTTTAGAATGTTGAAACACTATTTTTTGCGTTTTACACCATTGGGGAAGGTTCTGGTTTATTTGGTATAGCAGGCAAATTTAAAGTTCATGTCTCAGGCGCGGACAATATTAGAACATGACAAAATACGGAAACTGCAAAACGTAATCTTAATAAAACACAATCAAGATACACACGAAATCGTGAAACGTTAAAATCTATTTTATGCAAAGGATTCAAAACCCGTTTACAAAAAATTATTATTGCTTTTATTGGACCGCTAAGCGTAATATAAATTTAAACCATGATATTTTTCAGGTCTCCACTGCGCTGATTTGTATGAAAAAGGAAATAGCCAAAGTGGAGTTTATGAAGTTAATCCTGATGGAAAGGGAGGTTTTGAAGTGTTTTGTGATATGACAACATCAGGTGGAGGATGGACTGTATTTCAACGTCGTCTTGATGGAAGTGTTGACTTCTACCGAGGATGGCAAGATTACAAAAAAGGTTTTGGTGACTTGAGCGGAGAATATTGGCTTGGTCTTGACAAAATACACAGGATGACAAATATTTTAGAAAATGAATTTCGTATCGATATGGAAGATACATCTGGAAACACCAGATACGCTCATTATGATTTTTTTGCAGTAAGCAATGAAAATGAGAAGTACAAGTTGAATGTTGGAGGTTATAATGGTAAGCATTTTACATTAAACAGAGTCTGATTTGAGTTATTTCAATAAGATTATAGGCGGTTCCTGCTCCCTTTAGAATCAACTTCACAGCAAAAAATCATTTTCTTATTTCAAGAAAAAAAAACTCATTTTAAGAAAATTTTCTTAAAATGAGTTCAAATTTTCTTGGGAGAATAATAAGAAAATTTTCTTACTTTTTTTCTTAGGAATTTTTTTCTTAAGAAAATTTTCTCAAAATAAGAAAAGTTGCACACAAATAATTTCTCAGTTTAAGAAAATTTTCTTGAAATTAGTCCAAAATTTCTTATAGAATGTTCATAATGAGAAAAAATTTCTTAAGAAATTGTTCTTAATATAAGAAATATTTCCAAGAAAATATTTTCTTATAAGAAGAAAAGTTAATTCTCAAGAAACCCTAGAAACTTTGACATGATATTTTGTTATAAGTGAGAATGTAATGTAAATTTACTAAAATATTCATGAGTCATAATATAGAATACACAGCAGACATTAATACATGAGAATTATAGGCCCTACATGATTATTTAGAGAAGTGATTATATATAATATTGCACCACGGTATTGAAGGTTTTGTATTTGTCCAGTGTTTATTTGACATGTTTTTAAATATCAATTATTGCAGTACAGATCAATTATTGCAAAAGGATTTTTGTGGTGCATCAGATAAATTTGAGAGTAAATAATTAAAAAATTGGTGTGAAGTAAATCCTAAGTTCACACTTAACTTAAAATAAAACTTTGCAATCATGTTTGGAATTGAGTACATCAAACAAAAAATACTGGTAAATGATAATTTAGCTACTCTGGGGAATTTTAAGCTATTCTTTAGCTATCGCTTGCAATACCGGCATCTTTAAGAAAACTACTTTAAGACCATTATCAAATACACCTATCCTTTAACCCATTCTACACTGCTTTTCTACCTCCCTATGATAGTTTAAATTCCAATCAATTCACCATGAAACTGCATGTAATTAATTCAAACAATACATAGATAGAGGCCTTATCCAATGAAATCAAATGGTGTTAAATCCAAAAATTATCCCTAACAAAATATGTATGGATAATTGTATCTGAAGGCAAAATAGAGAGCTTTGTGATAATTTTAATGATATAGGCAGACTCTGATGCACAATTTATACCCTTTGGAACAGTTGCAACCCTACTGTGGAGAAGCACTGTTACATTTAATAACCCCTCTGGATTTAGTATCAATCTGAAAATACAACTCGACTCTAATCCTACATTTCAAACAAAGACATTAGAAACACTGCCATATGCTGCTCCTTAGTTATATATATCACAACATTGGACTATTCTATGTTGCTCCTCTGAGGTATTCTAGGCCATAATTGCTGAGGAATTCTAAGGTATTGTTTAGCTATCCCTGCTATAGCCAACTATTTGACCATATAAACAGGTAATAACATGGAAAATCATAGCGCAAATCATTAAACGATGAAGAAAGACCTAAATACAATTATTGATCTATAATAGGGTGGAATAAAGGCTAACGAAGGCTAACAAATAAAGGCTTATACGTTGTATTTAATAACACACTCGATCAGCATGTTGGCATATGACATCATGAAATATCAACTCACCTTATGAAATACCACAAATTTGCGCCGATATAGTGTATATTTTCTCACATCCTAAACGTCCATATCTTTATCGGTAATATATAAAGTTAATAACAAGATACAAATGCCATATCCGCCATAAAAAGCAATGTTTCTTTAATATGCGTTAATAGCGTTATAGGTTGTTTCGTTAAGTATTCAAATTTCCCTCGTGGTCTACGCTCGAAAGGCATAATGGGATAAATGGAATAATCAGGCTCTGCGTCAGGCTGCGTGAAGCTATTAAATCCAATGTATTAGATAATTATTAAATTATTATATCCAGGAATATTATTATTGAGTCATCGATATATGTATAATTATATATATATACATGCATATATATATATATATATATATATATATATATATATATATATATATATATATATATATATATATGTATATATATATATATATATATATATATATATATATATATATATATATATATATATATATATATATATATATACACCCATTTGCAAAAACGTTGGCCGCAGATAGATAGATTGATAGATACTCGAAGTCTAATTAGAATTGCATATGATTACATTTGCATGGGATTTCAATCATATTACACAACATATGCAATTCTAATTAGACTTCGAATATCTATCTATCTATCTATCTGCGGCCAACGTTTTTGCAAATGCATGGGTGTATATATATATATATATATATATATATATATATATATATATATATATATATAATATATATTATATATATATATATATATATATATATATATATATATATATATATATATATATATATATATATAATCTTGGATTTGTTCGTAGTAAACCAGAGTGCTCAATACAAGTAAATAGTAGAGCAAAAACACAAACAAATCAACAAAATATAATCATAAAATTGTATTTCATCGCTACACTGTGTTTCACGTACTAGTTTTAGTACGATCCTCAGGCGATAACTATTTACAACGGTTTACGCACACGCGTTTTTGATTGATTACGCGAGAGTTTTAACGTGCATGTTTGCGTGCGCTTAACATTACAAACCTTAAAACCATATCTATGCCGGCATTTACTAAGCTGTTCTGTCCTTTTGTTCAACGATTTGTTTTTGTCTGATAGCATGATTAATCTTTTTTCCTCGGTGCATAAATTGCAAACTTTCATTTCTGGACATGCGGCGGGAACTTGCTTCATATATCACTGACCATTTTATCCCAAATGGTTTATCTTGCGACTTGAGCCCCCAAACATACTTCGAGAGCTCCGTTTCTCCAGAGTAGCGTTCGTGGTTAAAAGACTTTAAGTGGTTGCTGTATCTGAGTTTGAAGCTACCTGATGTCATACCAATATAATGCTTGACAACTTCTCCATTATCGGAGCTAACTTCCGCTTTGTACACAATACTTTTCACGAGACAATTACCGTTCATTGGGCATTCCTCCTTAATGTTTAGTAAATGCCGGCGTAGATATGGTTTTAAGGTTTGTAATGTTAAGCGCACGCAAACATGCACGTTAAAACTCTCGCGTAATCAATCAAAAACGCGTGTGCGTAAACCATGTAAATAGTTATCGCCTGAGGATCGTACTAAAACCATAGATAAAGGAAGGACAGATGTCCATCTTCTTAACAAAAATGTCCCACGGCAGCCATCTTGCTGGCAAGTGTAGATTGCGTGGATATTCGTCATTTGTCATTACGTAATTGCTTTTATAATTTATACCCTCTGCACTCTGGTCCTATCGTGTCTATATATGTCGTCTTTCAAATTTCAATTTTATTTATATCCTTACATATTTGTTAACAATTAAATATCGGCTAAATGGCAGAAATTATAAGAAAAAAAAGTCGTAGAAAGGCAGGCACAACTTGGTGCTCAGCATATACATGTAAAAATAATAAAGCTGTAATGAAAAACCTGCATTTTTTCCGCTTTCCGAAAAACCCAATAAGGTAAATTTGTATGTCGCATTTTTATGTTTTCACTTTTCAACTAAAATTCAGAAGCTGTTCTAAATATATTTACTATTTAAAAACATAAAAACAACGGTATATCTTTGCTAAAATTATCTTAGGTCAGAACAGTGGGTTATTGCCTGTGGTAGGTATGACCTAGCGAAGAAAAATGCAAAGTATCGTTATAATAATTGCAAGCTATGCGAGGTCCATTTTGAAAATATTTGTTTCGTGAATATCGAGGAAAGAAATAGACTTCAAGAAAGCGCTGTTCCATCAATATTTTATGGCAAACGAAAGTTAGTCTTTGCAGAAAATGAAGAACTATTAAACAGCGCCAATAACGGTATGTGAATTTCATTATTGGACAAAACGAATTACTTACAAGTAGATATAAACAAAAGATATAAACAAAAACAGTGCGTGTCATTTTACAGCGTTTGTAAGTTGTAACAGATAATATATACAAAATTACGGTCAAATTATACTAGACTGTCCTGTCCTGCAACGAATATAATAGCTTTCAACATGCCTTGTATGACATGCAGCAATTTGTCACTTTCACATGCAGTCATTTGCCTCTACGACTAGCGTACTGTATAAACATGTCTTATATAAAACCTGCAACCGATTGGAAAAACAATCACTTTAGTCTTTAGAGAGTGGAAATTCAGCTTTTACACTACGTCTGTCATAAATTGTTTTTTCATGATGGTTTAAATACGAAATATTTAAAAAAACGCTTACTAAAAATGTACAACTAGCTGGAATGACTATAAGAACACAGCCACAGGTATATAAAATTTATTATGCTGTATGTCAGTTTAAAAAAAAATACACTTTATGTATAATATAACAACCTCGACAAACTTGGGTCGGTAAATTTTAAATAATAGTACTCAAAAATGGAACTCTATTTTTCACTTTGAAAAATACTCAAAAGATCATATAAAAAGTTCGAACGAATAGTTTTTTTCTTTTTAATCCGTCTTGTTTGCATGACAATATATTTATAATTTTTTTGCTTCATAATATAGCATGTATAAGAGTAAATATTATGACATGCATAGAACGTACCTCGAATGCTTCGTTTCAGGATTTCAAAACTTTCCCCTTTCACTTTTTTTATTCTCATAAAAATTCGCACAACACCTTATCCCTTGGGCAAAATTCAGCGACATTTTTCATCAAATAAATGCTTTAAAATACCCGAAATATGTATAACATGAAAGTGTTCTAGAGGAAGCCATCATTTCGAATTAACTGACAACGACAGACAGCGTGATTAATTTTTCATAATGACATACAGACACGTAGGCATCATGTGACTATATATATTTGCCAAATAAGGGCACACTTCACCATAATTTATATAGAATAACCAATTCTTTATATATATATATATATATATATATATA